GCTGAAGATGATCATTGATTTGTGATGGTGGTCCCGAGAAGATGCAGACTCCACCTCTAGCAAGAATGTAAATCTGATCGAACAACATCAGCATCTCGGTATTTGGTTGATGGATAGCTGCCACTATGGTGATGTTGTGTTTGTGTGACATTCTTCGCAGACAGGAGATTATCACTTCTGCCGAATTTGAGTCCAGTCGGCTAGTCGGTTCGTCGATGCAAATGAAATTAGGCATTCGTTGCGACATCAATTCCAAAGCCAGTGCCAATCGCTTTCGTTGTCCACCCGAACATTTATTGACAAGTGTGTTGGCCGTATCGATAATATCCAGTTCTTTCAACATTGACATGGCATTATTTTTATGATCGACTTTTTCACCAAGGTTTTTCAACTTGCTTGCATAAATAAGACTCTGTAGGGCTGTCAAACCTGGAGTCAAGTGCGAAGAAATATCCTGCGTTATGTAACAGGTACGCAACGGTGTGAATTTGCTGAGGTAGAATCTAGTTTCACTGCTCAATCGTGTCTTGTCTCTGCCGTTCAACACTTTGAGGAAGGATGTTTTGCCTGCTCCAGAAGTACCCATCAAAGCATTCAATGTTCCGTAACGAAATTGACCATTAAGATTGCGCAAAATATATTTAGGTTCTTCGAGTTTCAAAGCAGATCGCAATTCTAAATATGAATTAGAATTGAACAAACTCAAGGATCGCCAAGCGATGATAATTTTATTTTTAGAGAATTTCTCGAAGTCGATTTCATCATCTAGTTTTATTCGATCATTGGACTGAATTGAAGTTTGATTCGATTCACTTTTCGAGTTATCGTAGTCGATCTTGACAAAATCGACGATGTTCAACTCTAGTGATCGTTTTTTCGATGGAAATTTCCAGCTTTTGAATTCTGTCATCATTATTAACAATGTCAATATTCTTAAAACGGCCGAATTGATAAAAATTCGATACAGATCGGTATAGACAGTTTCTTGGTTGATTTCGTAATCAATCAATACCGAAGATATTTGGTCTGTATCACACCGATCAATACCATAGAATGCATTAATAAGTCCAAAAGCTATAATTTTCGACCCCATTATATCATTAATCATTTTACTGAAAGGATTGACGATATAATCATAGTGAAACATATAACCGTTGTTAAAATCAAGTGGTGCATATGAAATTAAAGATATCGCAACGGCAACTTGAGGATGATTCGGAAATAAGATGCTCAATAATTGGCCCATAGATTGTACATAGAAAAAAAACATCCACATGAATAGGAAAAAATTAGCGAATCGAAACCAATTGATATAACCATCATCAATGAAAGTATGGTCAATTAAGAAGTATATCAATGCTGTCACGTGTAAAGCAAGAATTGTAAAATCCATTAATCGAACAATTACAACCGACCAATATGAAACACCAACACTGTGCCAACCTAAAGACCAATTCAAATGAGATAGGAAACTCGAAAGAACTCACACTCTTACCGTTTCGATGTTCATTTTTGAATACATTTATTAATGAAGAAAAAGTCAAACTGCTGATTGCATTGAGTAAATAACCTAACACCATAACGATCATGGATTGATAATAACCATAGTATTCAATTCGATTATCATCCTCGAATTTATCTTGACAAGTTTGATTAATTTCAGGCTTGGTGAAGTTGAGCTTAGAGACGCAAGTATCGGGCTGGACGATATTTTGTTCGAATAAATTCGAATGAATCAAACACACTAAAGTCACCATGAATATTGTGAAAATTCGAGAATTGATTTGTTTGATGAATATCAATTGAAACATTCTTGCGATTTGCAGTAGAAAATCTCCAATTGAAAATGACTTATGATCGACAATGATTCCTTGCGGCAGATATTTCATTTGTGGAATTAAAGGCTTCAATTCCTCTTTCTGTTGTGACAAAGTTGTTTCTGCTAATCGACAGACATTTTCATTATCAGTTCCTTTACAAGCAATGGTCAGGTATTCTTCAATCGGTGGCTTTTTTTTGTCATGAACTAATCCAATTTGTGTTTGAAGATTATGTTGTAACATTGTTGGCAGCCCCGAATATATGCAAACACCGCCTTTGGCCAGAATGTAAAGTTTGTCGAACATTTTGAGAATGTCCGAGTTGGGCGAATGTATCGATGTCAGAATCGTTAATCGATTGTTTTGATCATCAGCTAATTTTCGTAAACAACGTACCATCAACAGAGCAGCATGGCTGTCCAATCCGGTTGTCGGTTCGTCAACAAACAAAAATGTCGGCGCTTTCAATGACATCAATTCTTGTGCAACAGCGATTCGCTTTTGTTCCCCACCGCTGCAGAGATCGAATCTTCNGAGATTCCGGATCGATATTGGCCATTCAAACAATTGAGAAGTGTACTTTTTCCAGCACCACTTGGACCAAGAAATGCGGTAAGACTATTATATTCAAGATGACCATTTAAACGTCGTAGAATAATTTTTCTTCCTTTTAGCCAACTGTTCACTTCATAACGAAGATTTTTCCATGCAATTGAAACATTATCATTATGATGATTATTATGATCACTAATGTTAAAAGTGGATGAAACTAATTCAACACATTCGATTGGATTCATCGTTTGAACAATTGAATTGTTTTAAACAACTATAACAATTTTTTTTTTCATTTGTAAATTAACACTTCAAAATTTTTAATGTTCAATTTTTTTTTCACCGGAAAAAAAAATTGAACCCTTCATTAGCACACAGTTTGTATAGTTATATTTGATTTTAATTTATAATTATCATGAAATAATTTTTTTTCCATTTTTATTTGTTGCCGCATTTTTGATTATGATCATTGAAATTTCTGCGCAATTGATTTACAATGTTAAATTTTTCTAATCATTTGCAAACAAGTTTTCAAATTCAAAAAATCATAAACATTTGAATTGAAATGAAATGAAATGAACAAATAGTTTGTACTAAAAGTTTTATTTATCCAAAATAATTTTCAACGACCTTCATTGAAGATGAGGGAAATGAAAAAGAAAAGCCGATACGAAAGGAAAATCAGAATTAAAAATAAAAAACATTACTGCTTTATTTAGGGTGGGTATTTGATTTCAATCCTTTTTTGTTTTTGTTTTTTTTTGTAATTTTTTAATTTTATTTTAATTTAATTTTTTTTTTGACCAGGAAATCCACAGTATTTGTTTTTGAAATAATTTAACCAAACTTAAAAGTTCAATAAAGTATATAAAAATTCACCGACGATCATGATGTTGATCATTGAACGACAAAAATTAATCAATCACAACATCCTTGAACATTGAAACCAGTTTTTTGTTTTGTTTTTTGTTTTACTAATAAAAATAAATCAAATGAAATGATGATTATTATCTGAAATTGAATTGCACTAAAATAAAAACAACAAAATTTTTTTTTTGCATAAACAACTTTTCAGTTTGATAACAAATTGATAAGTATGGATATCAGTGTTAGAAGAAAAAAAAGTGTAAACAACAATAATAAAAGTAACAACAATTATAAAATAAAACAGATAAAATTAAACTTGAATTTTTCGAATAACAAAATCATTTGAACAGGTAAGACCAGGTATAATGACTTTTGATGGTAATTGTCGTTGATTTAGATATTCAATACGTTCAACACGTTTACGTCGATTTTCAAATGGATTATTATATAGACAAAATAATAATATGGCAATTGATTGAAATAATATTGCATTGACGGCTGTCATTATGATAACGTAATAGTAACGTTCATCATGAATCAAACCAATTCTATACAATACCACTTGAATTTCTCTATGACCACAACGACCAAAACCATATACTAAAAACAACATTGCTTCTGATTGATAGCGAAAAAGATTGAAAGTTGTTATCAATTTGAATGCAAAATGTGATAATGAATGTGGAGTTAATATTGAAATAATCGATATAAGCATTACACATGGAATTGAAATGTAAAGATTCAATGGATTACGTCCAAACACTATGGAAATTATATAGCTGGCACCTTGAACAGCAATCATTGGTAGTATGGTTAATATTATCATATAATACCATACATCACTTCGAACTGGATAATAAATGTCGGTAACGATTGGATACAATACGATTAGGGGAAAAGCAATGAACATTTCACATATTGCTTTTGTTAGATAAAATGCACCAGAACTGTACCAACCTAGAAAGAATCACAAAGAAAAACTAAATAAATATTTCGAATCATAATAGATTGACACAAATTACCATTTCGATGTTCAATTTTAAACAATTTCCGTTGTGACACAAACAATGTAGCAAAAAAGATACAACTAATTATACCCAGACTGCTTATAACGTGATTAACATAATGATAACTGTGTAAAAGGTTCATTCTTTCATCTTTAGAACGATTACAGCTGCTAAAATCTTCATCCAAACCCATACAACCACTTTGAAAAACAATGTCAGGATTGATCAAACTCTTCAATATTACACCATTTCCCATAGAGAAACACATGAACCACAATATTAAAAATTGGGACATGGGATTTCCAAAATAGAAATAGAATTGTCGTTGGATCAAAATGATAACAGATCTCAATGAAAATCGAGTACGATTAGCCTGTGGACCATCTAAAACATATTGAGTATCAGTCATCAAATTATTTTCTAACTCATTATTTAGGATTGATTGGTTTGTAGAATCGGACAATGTTTTAATTTTTGGATCTGAGTGATTCAAAGAGGAATATTTCATGATTTCTTCGACAGCAAATTTTTCATCGTTATTGTCGTGATCGGTAGAAACTTGCTGAAGATGATCATTGATTTGTGATGGTGGACCAGAAAAGATACAGACTCCACCTCTGGCAAGAATATAGATCTGATCGAACAGCATTAGCATCTCAGTATTCGGTTGATGAATGGCAGCCACTATGGTGATGTTGTGTTTGTGTGACATTTTTCTCAGACAGGAAATGATCACTTCGGCCGAATTAGAATCCAGTCCGCTAGTCGGTTCATCGATGCAAATGAAATTTGGCATTCGTTGCGACATCAGTTCCAAAGCCAGTGCCAATCGTTTTCGTTGTCCACCAGAACATTTATTGACAAGTGTGTTGGCCGTATCGATAATATCCAGTTCTTTTAACATTGACATGGCATTATTTTTATGATCGACTTGTTCGCCAAGGTTTTTCAACTTGCTTGCATAGATAAGACTCTGTAGGCCTGTCAACCCTGGAGTCAGGTGCGAAGAAATATCCTGCGTTATGTAACAGGTACGCAACGGCGTGAATTTGCTGAGATAGAATTTGGTTTCACTGCTCAATCGAGTCTTGTCCCTGCCATTCAACACTTTTAGGAAGGAAGTCTTGCCGGCTCCAGAAGTACCCATCAAAGCATTCAATGTTCCGTAACGAAATTGACCATTAAGATTTCGCAAAATATATTTAGGTTCTTCCAGTTTCAACGCAGAACGCAGTTCCAAATATGAGCCCGAATTAAACAAACTCAAGGATCGCCAAGCGATGATAATTTTGTTTTTGGAGAATTTCTCAAATTCGGTTTCATTTTCCAATTTCATTCGTTCATTTGACTGAAATGAAGTTTGAATTAATTCATTATTTGATTTATCGTAGTCGATTTTAGCAAAATCAGCGATAATAGACATTTTTGATGATTTTTTCGATGAAAATTTCCAGCTATTTAATTCGGTCATCATTAATAACAATGTCAATATTCGTAAAGCAACAGAATTGATTAAAATCCGATACAGATCAGTATAGACTGTTTCCTGATTGATTTCAAAATCGATCAAAACTGAAGATATTTGGTTTGGTTTACATCGATCAATACCATAGAATGCATTAATAAGTCCATAGGTAATAATTTTCGTTCCCATAATATCACTAATGATTTTACTGATAGGATTAACAATATAATTATATGGAAACATATAACTATTGTTAAAATCAAGTGGTGCGTATGTAATTAATGATAACGCAACGGCCACTTGTGGATGATTTGAAAAAATTATGCTTAATAATTGACCAACAGATTGTACGTAGAAAAAAAACATCCACATGAATAGGAAAAAATTACCGAATCGAAACCAATTAAAATAACCATCATCAATGAATGTATGATCGATTAAGAAGTACATCAATGTTGTAATAAGTAGAGCAAGAATAGTAAAATCTATTAATCGAACGAATACGACCGACCAATATGAAACACCAACGCTGTGCCAACCTTCAGATCAAATACATGTTAAATGCAGTCGATTACAATTTGATGATCGAATGAACTCATAATACAAAATAATCTAACTTACCATTTCGATGTTCATTTTTGAATACGTTTATCAATGAAGAGAAAGTTAAACTGCTGATCGCATTAAGTACATAACCCATCAACATAACGATCATGGATTGATAATAACCATAGAATTCAATTCGATAATCATCTTCCAATTTATCTTGACAAGTTTGATTATTTTGTGGCTTGGTGAAATCAATCATTGAAACACAAGTATCTGGTTGGAGGATATTTTGTTCGAATAAATTCGAATGAATCAAACACACTAACGTCAACGTGAATATCGTGAAAATTCGAGAATTGATTTGTTTGATGAATATTAATTGAAACATTCGTGCGATTTGTAGTAGAAAATCTCCAATTGAAAATAACTTATGATCAAGAATAATTCCTTGCGGTAAATTTTTCATTTGTGGTATTAATGGCTTTAATTCTTCTTGTTGTTGTGACCAAGTTGCTTCCGCTAATCGACGCACATTTTCATCACCAGTTCCTTTACAAGCTATGGTCAGATATTCTTCAATTGGGGGTTTGTTTCGATCATGAACTAATCCAATATGTTCTTGAAGATTTTGTGGTAATAATTTTGGTACTCCAGAATAGACGCAAACACCACCTTTGGCCAGAATGTAAAGTTTGTCGAACATTTTGAGAATGTCAGAGTTGGGCGAATGTATCGATGCCAGAATCGTTAATCGATTGTTTGGATCATCAGCTAATTTTCGTAAACAACGTACCATCAACAGAGCAGCATGGCTGTCCAGTCCGGTTGTCGGTTCGTCAACAAACAAAAATGTCGGCGCTTTCAATGACATCAATTCTTGTGCAACTGCGATTCGCTTTTGTTCACCTCCACTACATAGATCAAACCTTCTATCCAGAACTTTTGGGTCAAGCAACAATTGTTCGATGATATTGGTGATATGTTGATCCATTTCGGATCCACCATGGTTGAAGCTGTTATGGAATCGAAAAGCATAGTATAGAATTTGTCGAATTGTCATCGATCCAATGATCGTTTCTTGGACATGTTGTTGAACATAACAGATTCGTGGTTTATCGTTTTCTCGACGATTGATGTATATCTCTGAATCGGATGAGATTCCGGATCGAAATTGGCCATTTAAACAATTAAGAAGTGTACTTTTTCCAGCACCACTTGGACCAAGAAATGCAGTAAGACTATTATATTCCAAATGACCATTTAAACGTTGTAGAATAATTTTTCTTCCTTTTAGCCAACTGTTCACTTCATAACGAAGATTTTTCCATACAATTGAAACATTATCATTATGATGATTATGATCACTAATGTTAAAATTTGTTGAAGAAAATTCATTACATTCTATCGAATTCATTGTCGATCAAATTAAATTCTGGCAAAATTTTCATTCAACACAAATTGCTATATATGATATGTTCATTTTTTTCTTTCTACACAATTTATTAACCAATAATGATTATGATCATCCCATAAAATTCAAAGGAATTTTTTTTTTTGAAAATATCCCTTATTCTGATAAGGTATGCTAGTTAATTTTCTCTATTTTTTCTTAGAAATATCACAAAAAGTTAATTTTTTTTTCTTTCTAATCAAAATTGATTGATTGCCTTTAGTCACTTACTATCAGTAATTATCACTTTAACTTTCCCTTTTTGCTCTCTTTCCAAAGAATATGTTTCAATAAAATCCTTGAAAATTTTTCACTAACAACGAAGAAAAAAAAATGAAAAGAGAAAAAGTCATTTTGAAGCAGACAGCAAAAAATTGAAATGAAATCGAATGTAATTTATTCAATTTTTTTTCGTTTCATCTGATCAAATGATGATGATGAAAGGATGATTTTTTTTTTTGATCAAAATCGATGATAACCAAATCGAATAATGACAATTAATTAAGCTTTTTGCCTTTTTTTTTGCTTAAAATTTGATGATAAAAAAAATATTCGAATAAAAAAGATATAATCAAATTCATTCGAATTTTCTTTACAGGAATTGTTTTCCAGAAATTTTCTTTGGAAAACTAAAAAAAAAATTCAGGAAATTTTTCATTCATTTTTTCAATCGGGTTTCGTAATTTTTTTGTAGTTTTTTTTCAACTGAAAAATATTTGGAAATATCCAATTTTCAAATATCTGGGAAACATTTTTCCTTTTCGGGAATGTTAATGATACACAAACAACAACAACAGCAACAACACATTGTTTATCAAACAAACCCAAAAAAAGAATGTTGTTTTCTGATTTCAAATGAATGTCAATTTTCAATTGATTTGTAATCGTGTATTATATAAATATGAAGATTTGTAATCGGGCATCTTTTTCATTGCAAAACTGTTCATAATTTTCAATCAAAAAGTGTGGATTAAAAGATTTACTGATTTTGCGATTTTGTGATTGTTCTTTTTTGTGAACGAAACCGAATTTTCAGTGAAAAAAAGATGAAAAAATTACCAACCGATTCGTATGTTGATATTGAATTATTTCAAAATGATTTAAAATATATTCAACCAGAATTTTTAAGAAAAATTGAATCAATTTTTAAAATAACAACAAATTCAGAAGAAATGGGTTTCCTATTTTTGATTAATGATAATATTTATGCATATGGTAATGATATATGTGAATGGTTATCATTGCAACATGATCCAAAACAACCAAAACAAATTGAAATTTTGAATGGCAGAAAAATTATTCAAATCGATTCGGGTAGTAAATTTGTTGTTATTTTAACTGATGATGGACAAGTTTATCTTGCCGGTGGTGATATTGAATGGCAAACCAATAATACATTACGTTTAATTTCCAACGGTAATGATCGTTTTGAAATGATTGCATGTGGATATTATCATTTGTTATTGTTACGAAAAGATGGTATGGTTTTTGCAATTGGATATAATCAATATGGTGTATTAACAATCGATGATCATTCATATGATAATATGGTTGATACTGGTTTGATTAATATTAAACAAATAATATGTGGTGGATTTCATAATTTTGCCATCACCAATACGAATGAAATTTATTCCTGGGGTTGTAATAAATGTGGACAATTAGGTCATTGTGATAGAAAAAAACGAAACAAACCAACATTGGTTTCATTTACTGATGGTTCGATTCATAGTCCAATCAAAAATATTGTTGCCGGTTTATTGCATTCATTATTTTTATTCGAAAATGGACAATGTTTTGTTTGTGGTCAATATCAACAACGAACATCATATAATGATTATCGACAAGATTCAATTATACCGATAAAAATACCGATTGAAAATGTACAAAATGTTGCCTGTAAAAATGATCTTTATTATTCATTATTAATGGATCAAACATTAAATTATTATGAATGGGGTATGAAATTGAAAGATAAATATTTATTTTCAATAAAATTTTGTCATCAACAACAACAACAACAACAACAGCAACCAAAATCATTTGCTGCTGCATCAATGAAAATAACTGGATCATCACCAATCACATTTGGCCTAACATCAACCATCTATACATTCGAATCACATTATCCAATATCATTCATGGAATTATTGGATAATCCGGATAATTATGATGTTGAATTTGTTATCGGTAATAAACGTATATTGGCTTCAAAATGTTATCTACGAATGGTATCCAAATATTATAATCGAATGTTTTCAGGTCAATGGCAAGAAAATAAACAAGTAACAATCAAAGATTATAGTTATGATGCCTATTATGCATATCTAATGATGTTACATGATGGTTATATTCAAATTAATCGATACAATATAACCGAACTTATTGATTTGGCCAATTGTTATGGTGATGAACGATTAATGAAAAATTGTAAAACATTTATAGAAAATGATCTTAATAAACAAACTTTGTGTAATTATATTCCATTAATTCAAAAATATAAACTATATGATTTTAATCCAATATATATGAAACTTGTAAAATTAATTACAAATGAAACATTAGAAAAAATTACTGATAATTTTGTTAAAAATAGAGATAATATTATAAAAGTTATTGATTGGTTTTGTGAGGAAAATTCTTTTTGTTAACCCAAAAAACATTATTTCATAACTTTTCTTCAATTTTGTCAACAATAAAACCTTTTAATCATTGATGAATTTTATTAAAAAGATTGTTGTTGGGTGTTTTTTTTTGTTGATAAAAATAAACGCGAAATACCAATTTGAAATATCTGGATGGATCATTATAATTATATCTGGATGATCTGAAGATTCGGGAATGTTAATGATACAAACAAAAGAATGTTGTAATACTTTTAGATTGAATGAATGAAATGAATGTCGTTTGATTGATTTGTAATCTGGAAACATATAAATATAAATGGATTTTTGTTTCGGGCATCTTTTCATCGCAAAACTGTTCATATGATTTATAATTTTCAATCAAAAATAGTGTGCATTAAAAGATTTATTGATTTTGGGCAACGATTTTGTGATTGTTTTTTGCTCTCTCTTTTTTTTGTGAAAGAAACCGAATTGGAGAAAAAAAAACAATGAAAAAATTACCAACTGATTCTTACGTTGATATTGAATTATTTAAAGATGATTTAAAAGATATCGATGAGGAATTTATTCGAAACATCGAATCGATTTTTAAAATATCACATAAAGATAAACAAATTAGTTTTCTATGTATGACCAACAATGCTACTTATGCTTATGGTGAAGAAATATGCAAATGGTTATCGTTAAAAGATGATCCCAAACGACCACAACAAATTGACATTTTAATTGATAAGAATATTATTCAAGTCGATTCGGGCAATGAATTTGTTGTCGTTCTAACTGATGATGGACTAGTATATCAAGCCAGTGGTGATTCAGATTGGCAAACGAACAATACTTTTCGATTGATCTCAACCGGTAATGATCGTTTTGAAATGATAGCATGTGGAATGTTTCATTTGTTATTGTTGCGACAAGATGGCATTGTTTTTTATTTGGGAAATTATCTTTTTTGTCAATTGACCGGTAATTCAATGTCATCGTATGATACTTTCGTGAACACTGGTTTAAATAATATCAAAATAATAGCTTGTGGCTCGTTGCATAGTCTTGCTCTCACCAATACGAATCAAATTTATTCTTGGGGTTGGAATAACAAGGGACAGTTAGGTCTAGGTGATACAAATGACCGAACAACACCTTCAATGGTAACATTTCCTGATGGTTCGATTAATAGTCCAATCAAAAATATTGTGGCTGGCTTATGTCATTCTTTAATTTTATTGGAGGATGGTCAAATTTTTGGATGTGGTCATGGTCAACGTAATATTAATATGCGAAATGCAAAAGTACCAACAAAAATACCCGTTGAAAATGTGCAAAGTGTTGCTTGTAAAAATCATCAGATTATTTCATTGGCTTTGGATAAGTCATCACATTATTATGCATGGGGTAAAGCAAAAAAGAAATTTTTTCCTCCCATAAAATTGGTTTGTGGACCGAAATCATTCGCTGCAGCATCAGTTATGCTATACGAATCATCAATCACTTTTGGCCTAACATCAATCATCCCTGTATTCGAATCGAATGATCCAATATCATTTATTGAATTATTGGATAATCCGGATAATTATGATGTCGAATTTGTAATCGGCGACAAACGTATATTGGCTTCAAAATGTTATCTACGAATGGTATCCAATTATTATAANTACGACAAGATGGCAATGTTTTCGCTCTGGGAAGTAATTCTATGGGTCAATTGACCGGTAATTTACACTCATCGTATGATACTTTCGTGAAAACTGGTTTAAATAATATCAAAATAATAGCTTGTGGCTCGTTGCATAGTCTTGCTCTAACCAATACGAATCAAATTTATTCTTGGGGCTGGAATAACAAGGGACAGTTAGGTCTAGGGGATAGAAATAATCGAAGAACACCTTCATTGGTTTCATTTCCTGATGGTTCGATTGATAGTCCAATCAAAAATATTGTGGCTGGTTTAGGCCATTCTTTATTTTTATTGGAGGATGGTCAAATTTTTGGATGTGGTCATGGTCAAGGCAATATTAATAAGCAAAATGCAAAAGTACCAACAAAAATACCTGTTGAAAATGTGCAAAGTGTGGCTTGTAAAAATCATCAGATTATTTCATTGGCTTTGGATCATTCATCACATTATTATGCATGGGGTAGAGTAAAAAAGAAATTTTTTCCTCCCAGAAAATTGGATTGTGGACCGAAATCATTCGCTGCAGCATCAGTAATGTTATACAAATCATCAATCACTTATGGCTTAACATCAACCATCTATACATTTGAATCAAATTATCCGATATCATTTATTGGATTATTGGATAATCCGAATAATTATGATGTTGAATTTATTATCGGTGACAAACGTATATTGGCTTTGAAATGCTACCTGAAAATGTCATCAAAATATTATAGTCAAATGTTTTCGGGTGAATGGCAAGAAAATAATAATAGAGTGGTGATTGATGCTTATAGTTATGATGTATATTATTCATATCTAAGGATGTTACATACTGGCCGAATCCAAATCAATCAATCCAATATAGCCGAATTTATTGATTTGGCCAATTGTTATGGCGATGAACAATTAATGAAACATTGTCAAACATTCATGCGAATGGTTCTAAATGGAGGGACTTTATTTACTTATCTACCATTAATCAGTAAATATAAACTTGATGGAATGAATGATAAACTTGTCGAATTAACAATCAAAGATGTTTTACCGAAAAACAAAAACAATATTACAAAATTTTTGGAATGGTTTTTCGAACAACAATCTTTTTGTAAAACAAAAGATTTGCCTTGCAAACGAAAAAAAAATTGACGATAATTGAAAATGATTTTGTTTCCGATTGATACAATTGATAAATATAACATTTTCATTTTTTTTGTGTAACAATGTTAATCATCATCAATAAAATTTTGTCTCCACAATTTGATTATTATTATTTGTTCGTCCAGTTTTTTTTTTGTTTTTGTTTTTGTTTTCAGAAAAAAAAATTTTTGTTTATATTTTTTTTGTTTCCACATTTTTATCTAAATCATAAGTTATTATGGATGATGTTATATATGATAACAAAAACAAACAAAAATTTAGATATTTGTTTTTCAGGTGATTGGCAAGAAAATAATAATAATAATAAGGTGATGATTGAGGCATATGGTTATGTGATTTATATTATTCATATTTACGTATGTTACATATACTGGTCGTATCCGAATCAATCAATACAATATAGCCGAACTCATTGATTTGGCTAATAATAGAAATACCAAATTTAAAATATCTATGGAAAATGTTTTGGATAAAAAAATTTTTTATCCAGAAAAAAAAATTATTCATTTTATTACGGTAATGTTACTATAGTATGACAACAACTAAAACGAAATCATTTGTTTGTCCAACAAACAAAAGAATGTTGTAATACTTTTTTCGGATTGAAATGAATGTCGTTTGATTGATTTGTAATCTGGTATATTATTATAAATATAAATGGATTTTTATGATTCGGGCATCTTTTTCATTGCAAAACTGATCAAAATATATAATTTTCAAATAGTGTGCATTATATTTATTTACTGATTTTGGGCAACAATTTTGTGATTGTTTTTTTTCAATTGTTCTTTCTTTTTTAGCGGATGAAACTAATTTTTTTTTTTGAGGATAAACGATGAAAAAATTACCAACTGATTCTTACGTAGATATTGAATTATTTAAAGATGATTTAAAAGATATTCAACCGGAATTTATTAAAAGTATCGAATCAATTTTTAAAATAATCTTATTTAATAGTGAAATGAGTTATCTATTCATGACCAACGATGCTACCTATGTTTATGGCAAAGAAATANTACTCGCCAAATATTTACAAAATCATAAACTCGTCTATTTCGACCAAATTAGTATTAAATTTGTCACAATAGATGATTCTCGAATGATGAAAAATTTCGCTCAGAAAAAATTGTCTATTCTTTTTTGTTTTTTTTTTGGTGGCAAAAATTAAGCTCCTCCCATTTTAGAATTTGTTTACTTTTGTCTAACTTATACAACAGTGTATACAACGGAAAAACGGACAATTTTTCAACAAGAGTGCATTACATCATTTTTCATTTTGTGATTTGTTTGTGTGTTTTAAAAGATCATTGTGGAATATTGTTTTTTTGCTGCGATTGAAATTGGATTTTCAAGAAAAAAATAACGATGAAAAAAATACCAACCGATACTTTGGTGGATATCGAAATATTTCAAAATGATTTAAAAGATATTGATCAGGAATTTATTCCAAGCATCATTTCTATTTTTAAAATGACCAATACAAACAAGGAAATCAGTTTTCTATTTATGACCGATGATGCTACCTATGCATATGGTAAAGAAATATGCAAATGGCTATCGTTAAAACATGATCCCAAACGACCACAACAAATTAACATTTTAAATGGCAAGAAAATTATTCAAATCGATTCATGTTACAGATTTGTTGTCGTTCTAACTGATGATGGACTAGTGTATCTAGCTAGTTGTGATTCAAGATGGAAAACGAACAATACTTTTCGATTGATTTCCACCGGAGATGATCGTTTTCAAATGATAGCATGTGGAGAAAATCATTTGTTATTGTTACGACAAGATGGCACTGTTTTCGCTTTGGGAAATAATTGTTTTTGTCAATTGACTGGTAATTCAAGTTCATCGTATGATACTGTCGTGAACACTGGTTTGAATAATGTCAAAATGATAGCTTGTGGAGCGGGCCATAGTCTTGCTCTCACCAATACGAATCAAATTTATTCTTGGGGCTGGAATGACTATGGACAGTTAGGTCTAGGGGATAGAAATAATCGAAGAACACCTTCATTGATTTCATTTCCTGATGGTTCGATTGATAGTCCAATCAAAGATATTGTGGCCGGCTACGGGCATTCTTTATTTTTATTGGAGGATGGTCAAATTTTTGGATGTGGTTATGGTCAAAACCCTATTAATGAGGAAGATGCAAATGTACCAACAAAAATACCTGTTGAAAATGTGCAAAGTGTTGCTTGTATGAATAATTGTGCTATTTCATTGGCTTTGGATCAGACATCACATTATTATGTATGGTGTAGAGTAAAAAAGAAATTTTTACCGCCCATAAAATTGGATAATCGACCGAGATCATTCGCTGCTGCATCAGTAATTTTATACAAATCACCATTCACTTATGGCTTAACATCAACCATCTATGTGTTTGATTTGTATGATCCGATATCATTCATTCAATTATTGGATAATCCGAATAATTATGATGTTGAATTTGTAATCGGCAACAAACGTATATTGGCTTCAAAGTGTTATCTAAAAATGGCATCAAAATACTATAAACGAATGTTTTCCGGTGATTGGAAGGAAAATAAACAAGTAACCATCAAAGATTATGGTTATGATGTATATTACTCGTATCTAGTAATGTTACATAATGGTCGTATCCGTATCAATAAAGACAATATAGCCGAACTTATTGATTTGGCCAAATGTTATGGTGATGAACGATTAATAAAACATTGTCAAACATTTCATACGAACAAACAATTTCAATGACAATACTTGTTTTTTCACTTATTTTTCAATTGATTATCAAATATAAACTTTGAAAAAAACAAAACAAAACACATCGAACCACATTATTAATAAAATTTTATTAAAATCTATAATCATTGATGATTGTTATTAAAAATTTTACAAAAAAAATAAAAAAATAAATAAAACTATTGCATGAATTTACTAAAAAATTTTACTAAAAAATAAAACTTTTGTAATAAAAATAATAATAGAAATACCAATTAAAAAATATGTCCAACAAACAAAAGAATGCTTGTAATACTTTTTTTCGGATTTAAATGAATGTCATTTCAAATGATTTGTAATCTGTTATATTATTATAAATATAAATGGATGTTTTTTTTTGATTCGGGCATCTTTTTCATTGCAAAAAACTGATCAAAATTTATAATTTTCAAATAGTGTGCATTATATTTATTTACTGATTTAGGGCAACGATTTTGTGATTGTTTTTTTTCAATTGTTCTTTCTTTTTTTAGCGGATGAAACTAATTTTTTTTAATGAGGATAAACGATGAAAAAATTACCAACTGATTCTTACGTAGATATTAAATTATTTAAAAATGATTTAAAAGATATCGATGAGAAATTTATTCGAAACATTGAATCGATTTTTAAAATAATCTTATTTAATAGTGAAATGAGTTATCTATTCATGACCAACGATGCTACCTATGTTTATGGCAAAGAAATATGCAAATGGTTATGGTTAAAACATGATCCAAAACGACCACAACAGATTAACATTTTGAATGGCAAGAAAATTATTCAAGTAGAATCCGGTCATAATTTTATTGTCGTTTTAACTGATGATGGATCAGTGTATCTAGCCAGTGATGATTCATTTTGGCAAACAAAAAATACTTTGCGATTAATCTCTACCGATAATGATCGTTTTGAAATGATAGCATGTGGATATTATCATTTGTTATTGTTACGGAAAGATGGCATTGTTTTCGCTTTTGGATATAATAAATATGGTCAATTGACCGGNGGCATTCTTTATTTTTATTGGAGGATGGTCAAATTTTTGGATGTGGTTATGGTCAACACCGTATCAATGATAAAAAACAAGATGCAAAAGTGCCGACAAAAATACCCATTGAAAATGTGCAAAGTGTGGCTTGTATGAATAATTTTCCTTTTTCATTGGCTTTGGATCAATCATCACATTATTATGTATTGAATTGGATGAAAGATAGCAAATGGTTACCGTTCAAAAAATTGAATGGTCAACCGAAATCATTTGCAGCTGCATCAGCAATAGTATATGAATCACCAATCACTTATGGCCTAACATCAACTATCTATGTGTTTGATTTGCATGATCCAATATCATTTATTGGATTATTAAATAATCCGGAAAATTATGATGTCGAATTTGTTATCGGTGACAAACGTATAATGGCTTTAAAGTATTACCTAAAAATGACATCAAAATATTATAGTCGAATGTTTTCAGGTGATTGGCAGAAAGATAATCGTGTTACCATTCATGATTATAGTTATGATGTTTATTATTCATATCTACATATGTTACATACTGGCCGGATTCGAATCAAACAATACAATATATTCAAACTTATTGATTTGGCTAATTGTTATGGTGATGAACGTTTAATGAAACATTGTCAAACATTCATACAAAAACTTATAAATCAATAAACTTTATTTATTTATTTATTTACCAACAATGTGTAGTCCAAAAAAACAAAAAAAAAACTATAAAATTTCTTTCAATTGATTGTATCTAAACAACAACAACAATCTTGATAAATAATAATGTATTGTATTTACAATCTTTTCTTATAATAATAATAAATTGAAACAATCAAATGACAATTGACAAAGTTTTTCAAAGTTTCCAAGACATCATCATCAATGTTTTCTGATCTTTGGATTATTTTTAGTGATAAGCATCGATTAACCAAGATCCTTGACAACGATATCGTTTCAATCAATATATTTCTTGATGTGGTTTGATGTTTGATTGTCACAAACAAACATTTTGATAATTGTCGTTCAAGTATTGTGTGTTTGCATTATATTTTTGTTTGAGTGTTACCGAGTGGCCACATCCATTGTTTAATATTTTGATCGTTTTTTTTGTGGGTACAAAAACCTGAAAAAAGAACAAAAAAAAATGAAAAAAAACGATGAAAATGAAATTACTACCAACCGATACTTATGTTCGATTATTTCCAAGATGATTTATAAAAGATATTGATCCGAAATTTATTCAAAGAATCGTTTCGATTTTTTCGTAAAATATTCAGTTATTATAATGATGAAAAAAAATTGGTTTTCCATTTACACTCAATGCTCAACTACCTGTATGCTTTTGATTATCGAATTTGCGAATATGTTATCATCATTGAAACATGATCCCAAACGATCACATCCGATTGATATTTTTTAAATTGGTAAAAATATTATTCAAGTCGATTTGAGGTTATGATTTTATTATCGTTCTATAGTTCTGATGATGGATTAGTTTATTTTTAACCCTGATTAATTATCTACTATTGTTATGACAAGATGGCACTGTTTTCGCTTTGGGAGAAAATAATCGGCCAAATTACTGATATGATACTCACTTGTAAATATATTGATTTTGAATAATGTTTAAAATAATAGCTTAGGTCTTGTGGAGATATAAATGACCCGAAGAATACAAACCCACACTNATTATCGTTCTAACTGATGATGGATTAGTTTATTTTTAACCCTGATTAATTATCTACTATTGTTATGACAAGATGGCACTGTTTTCGCTTTGGGAGAAAATAATCGGCCAAATTACTGATATTTATCACTCACTTGTAAATATTGATTTTAAATAATGTTAAAATAATGGTCTTGGAGATATAAATGAACCGAAGAATACAAACCCACACTTGTTTCATTTCCTGATGATTCGATTGATAGTCCAATCAAAAATATTATGGCCGGTAAATGAGCTGTATCCGAATCGACATCAAGATAACGAAGATAATGAAATAAGTGTGGTCTATAATAATGGTCGTGGTATACCTGTTGTCCATACATAAAAGAGGAAAAACTTTACAAAGAGAAACACTATAGTGTGGCTTGTCTTGAATTCAACGTGTTTTTTTACATTGGCTTTGGATCATTCATCACATTATTATGTATTATGGAAGTAAAGTAGAAAAATTTATTAAGAATTATTAGTCTCGCTCAAAACAAAAAAATTGGATGGTCAACCGAAATCATTCGCTGTAGCCTCAGCAATTGAATCACCAATCACTTATGGCCTTACATCAATCATTCGAATCGAATGATTTCATTATAATTTATTCGCGATTATTTGATAATCCGCGGATAATTATAATGTCGAGTTATGATGATCGCGATGACAAACGTATATTGGCTTGTAAATGTTACCTGAAAATGGCATCAAAATATTATAATATTCGAATGTTTTCAGGTGATTTTGGCAAGAAAAATACTAATAGAGTGGTGATTGATGCATATAATTATAACTATGATGTGTATTACTCTTATCTATTTAAATGTTACATAATGGCCGTATCCGAATCAATCAATCCAATATAACCGAATTTATTGATCTGGTCAAATTGTTATGGTGATGAACCGATTATTAATGAAACAGATTATCAAATATTCTTACATAGGAAATCTTAATAAACAAACTCTGTACACTTATCTTTGATTAACAAATATAAACTTGATTATGATATGTATGATGATAAAGCTAACTATTGAAGATGTGTTACCAAATAAAATTAAAATTAAAAAAAGGACAAAATTTTTCCTTGAGTTTTTTTCTGTACATAATATATTTGGGGGTGTAAATCTGTAATCAATCAATCAATCAATCAACCAATCAATTAATTAATCAATCAATCGAATATTAATGATAGATTAAGCATGGCTAGTTCCTTGACGACAATATCGTTACAATCTATTTTTTTATTTTTTTTATTTGCTGTGTTGGATGAGTGTTTGTTATTGCACAGACATTGTCATTTGATAATTTTGCTTAGGTAGTGTGCATTACATTTTGTGATTTGTTTGTGTAGCATACCATTGTTGAATATTGATTTTGCTGAGAACGAAATTGAAATTTTCCTGAAGAAAATAAAACGATGAAAAAATTACGAACCGATACTGAAGTGGATTTGAAATTATTTCATGATGATTTAAAAGATATTGATCGGGAATTTATCCAAAACATCGTATCGATTTATAAAATATCAACAAGTTTTGATGAAATGGGTTTTCTATTTATGACCAACAATGCTGCCTATGCTTATGGTTGTGAAATATGCGAATGGTTATCGTTACAACATGATCCTAAACAACCACAAAAGATTGAAATTTTGAATAATAAAAAAATTATTCAAATCGATTCAGGTGACGGTTTTGTTGTCGTCTTAACTGATGATGGACTAGTGTATCTAGCAAGTGGTGATATTGAATGGCAAACTAACAATACTTTTCGATTGATCTCGACCTGTGATGATGATCATTTTGAAATGATAGCATGTGGGTGCTATTATTTGTTGTTATTACGACAAGATGGTACTGTTTTCGCTTTTGGTGATAATAATTACGGTCAATTGGCCAATATTTCAGGTCCATCGTATGATACTCTCGTAAATACTGGTTTGAATAATGCCAAAATTATAGCTTGTGGTGGTGAACATAGTCTAGCTCTCACCAATACAAATGAAATTTATTCCTGGGGCTGGAATAAGTATGGTCAGTTAGGTCTAGGAAATGAAGATAATCGAAATATACCCACACTGGTTTCATTTGCTGATTGTTCGATTAATAGTCCAATCAAAAATATTGTGGCCGGTGAAAGTCATTCCTTATTTTTATTGGAGGATGGTCAGATGTTTGGATGTGGTTTTGGTCAACATCCTATGAATGATAAAAAACAAGATGCATCTTTGCCGACAAAAATTCCAATCGAAAATGTACAAAGTGTTGCTTGTAAAAATTATCTTGATTTTTCATTGATTATGGATCAATCATTACAATATTATGTATGGGGTAAAGTAAAAAATGAAGAATCATTATTATTAACACCAAAAAAATTGGTTGGTCCACCGAAATCATTTGTTGAAGCATCAATGCCTTTCGAATCATCAATTACTTTTGGCCTTACACCAATCATCCCTGTATTCGAATCGAATGATCCAATATCATTTATTGAATTATTGGATAATCCGGATAATTATGATGTTGAATTTATTATCGGCGACAAACGTATATTGGCTTCAAAATGTCACCTAAAAATGTCATCCAAATATTATCGTCGAATGTTTTCGGGTGATTGGCAAGAAAATAATAGGGTAGTCGTCAAAGATTATAGTTACGATGTATATATTTCGTATCTACGGATGTTACATACTGGTCGTATTCGAATCAATCAATCCAATATAGCTGAACTTAT